TGTTTGTAAATACGGTATTGACTCTACTCCTCAAGCACAACCAAAAAAGTACTCAGGTATATCAATTTTCGATAATCAACTAGCTTGCGTTCCACCCTTACAATGCCGTACACATTAGCTGGAATCGGCATCGGGTAAGTCCGAGGGTCCAAAATGGAAAGTGTGTGAAAAATGGAAAGTTCGTAAAGGGTAATGCTGCACAGGAACACTGTTTAGGAAGAGGTCAGTTTTTCATCAAATATTACTTAATGTTTGGTTTCGCGAGGGTTTTGAAATATATTCTAGACTACAATATACTCTTAGCTAGACACGGAAGACCCAAGCCTTTCCCTGCGCTCAAAGTAAAGTGGTGTCGTGAAAATGCTAAAACTGACTGCTAACACTGGCACTGCAAAGGGTAAAATTTTAGAACCAGTTGACCGAATATCAAGTTACAATAATTTTATGAGAAAACCTTACAAAAACTAGTATATTCTGCAGATCTGAAACAATTTTTCAAAACGCGAAGACTAAAAATACAGTTTTTTACTTTTGTGATGAGCAAGCACCTACCCAAGTGATTATGAAAAATCAAAAAATACTTCCTCTTACACGCAGGGATTACTTTTCAATTGCGATGTTTGTCATCCGTATAATATCCGCTTCGGCGGGACTAATCATTCGTTTCGTAAACAGTCTAGACTATAACTTCGTTTTTAATCACTGATGCGTGATCTTTGAGATACAGATGGATTGAGTTAATCTCGCTAACGAGCTACTCACTACTACGAACAAAACCAGTAAGATATCAATTCATAGGCGTAGTAAACAACAATAACATGGTGGCAATTAGTATAAATACTCCCTTTGGCATCGAGGTGAGCCAGTGTCAACTCGACTGATTCACTGAAAACCTAGTGCCTCTACTGCAATGATTCCACAAATTCTCGCTTTGCTTCTCGTATGTACAGCAATTCAAGCTAAGCCTAAGGTTTGTACTCACACAAGCTCCCTATAATCTGCTGTAATAAATGCAATCTTTAGCCAGAAGACAAACCAGATGGAACCCCAATGCCTCCGCCTGGCGGCCCAAAACCACTCGGTGGACCAATGAACAGTGGCCCAGGAGGAGTTCCACCTATAGGTTCTCAAAACCCTGGACTTCCGCCAATGGGATCCCCGCCACCGGGTGCACCAGGAGCACCAGG